ATGGGGCGCGCGATCACAGAACCCACAGTCCCGCCCTCTAACTTAACCCAGCGGCGGCAGCAGGTATATGGGGAAGTGCGGGCGTGTTTATCTGCGCTTATCTCTCTGTTTGCAGGTCTTTAAAAATTAGCACCGTTTAAGCTGTGTCTTTGTAATGGGACAAAGTGTAGTAAAACGCCAGATATCAGGGTATAACGTCAAATTGTATGAAACCACAAACGTGTAGTAAACGAACACAAAATTTGAAAAAAAAGAGTAAGTTTTATCTATTCTAATCGGGATGATTATCCAGATCGATTTCCCCCTGTCTTGAAAAATGAACCACAGAGTCCCAAGTTAACTAACTACGCCCCTCGCCCAGTGGTTAGGTATTGTAATCGTATTTATTTTATTTTAGCAGAAACGGTTGTAATCGCAAAAAAGTTGTGTCTTGACATTTTAGCAGTTGTTTTAGTCCTTTCTTACTGGCTTGTTTTCTCACAGAAATGAATGACATTACACGTCGTGTCATGGGGGTGACAATTAAGTTATCGGCAAGCAAATTAGTTATGTCATTGACACCAGTCACTATTGCTTTAGTGACTCGGCTGAGGTACTCGCCCCACAACATAAAAAGAGAATCCTCGAAGATGGCATTAGATTTGGTTTTTTTAAAAATGGTGAAACTCCAGAAGAACAAATTTCTTAAAAGATATTATTCAACATTAAGATAATAAAAGTTCATTATCCAGATCATTATGAGAATGGATGTGCGTAATGTAATATAATTTATCTACGCTTTTCCTTACCGTCATGCTTTTAACCCTGACGCCGCGGCTCCTCAGCTTGGTAGCCAGTTAATTATCTGCTGGACTCTGCAGCGCTATATATTACATGCATACATTACTTGTCTCGCAGTATTAATTTGCAAAGCAGGATGTTTTATTTTTTTTAAAAAAAGTTACTTTTGAAGAAGGATGCTTTTCCCCTTCAAGTTACCTACTACTCATTTAACAACATGTCTTTTGTGTGTGTCTTTAAACCCAGTTCTGTTAATAATTGTACGTCCTTACGCCCCTTTCTGGACATTTTCACGCACGACACAAACTTGCTGTGATTCTTGCCTGGGCCTTTTGACTTGTAGGTTGTGTAAATCTGTCTTTCAGACGTTTCCTACAGTTGTGAGAAAGATAGATTGTCCGCAGAAAGGGGGAAGACGCCATAAATCAATTAGATTCAGACAGAACATGGCCAGCACCTGCAGACGGTCTGAGATCCTCACGAGGTACTAAAGTAAAAACGAAGAACAGGTGCAGTGTATAATATAACTGCATAGATTCAGATTATTAAGGTAAACTTTAGAAGTTTTTGTAGCACCTGTCACTGTTCATTAAACTGTGTTAAAATTAAGCCCACTTAATTTACATGTAATCAAACCATTTACTTGTTTGTTTGTTTTACTGAAAATCCACAGCTAAAATACCAAGATTAGGTACAAGATACATTGTATACAGTTCAAAATTAAGGCAAGGTTTCCAAGATTACTGTGATGGGACCAAACTAGTGTCCCCATAAGACGCGGCGGCCTGGAAGCTGAGGAATCACTGCCATTTCATATTTAAAACTGTGAATCCCACATATATGTCCGAAAGATTCTCCCTCACATTCAGGTAAACATCCAGCAAACATGTATTGTCTTCCAGTTATTGGGGGTAATCTGGGTACCACCTGAAGGACAACAGAAAGACCATGTGAGAATTTTACTTCTGTAACAGTCTAATCCTTCATTTCTCGTTCTGCCCTGTGTTATGGTTTCAGTGTGAGTAATGTTGTATCTACTCTGCTGTATTAGCTAAGTCCATATAAGCATTGTCAGTCCTGGCATACATAGGTAAAGTGGGGAATTTAGTACAAGTCAGTAACAATTAGATGCCTTTTTTCTTTTATGTATGTATACCTCAGTTGCCATGCATCACACCTGTCAGTCTGTGAGTAAATATATACACAAAAAGATATTACACACAGCATTATTGTTTTGATTAGTGTCATCATATAACCAGACAAACAAACAAATAAATGCAATGAGGTTTTGGGGATTGGAGCTGCAGTCATGTGGTTATTTCACAGAACAGACTTTATGAGTGCAGCATAATATGGTATATAAAACAGTGGCTGTTTCCTTTAGCCATGTCCTAATGATGAAAGAAAGCAGGTCGACACTGTCATGAGATCAGAAGTGTCTCCTGAAGTCAGAAGTGTGACCAGAGGTGAATGTCACTCACTAGCTTGTAGCTGAATAGTCACTATACCTTCAACACAAGTACACCTCCTGTGCTAATTATGTGTAATATTTAACTGAAAAGTGATTCTCACTTTCTGTTGTGCACATGTACACTCGTATAAGTGTGTTCAGACGGATGCCTTGTGTCAGTCTCTAGTTCTGAAGGCATCAGCAGATTTTCAGCAACAGTGCCATGATCTTGCATTACCTCCATTCTTTGTACTGCTGGGCAGTGAATTAACCTGCATGTTTTACATATTAAACACCAAATTCTAAAACACACAGAATGTGCAAATCTCTTTTCCCCAGCAATATGTAAATGACAATTCAGTAAATGCTGCTTTAAATTCAGTTTTCACACCAGACTGCTGATCGCTGTATAACAGACCTCGTATTCCTAGTCACCAGGGCCTGCAGACATTCTTGTCCCATTCTTGCACAGGGATTACTGTGGGGTTTTTTTTTTTATATGTAATGAGTTGGTGGGGGAGGTTTATTGTGAAAATGTCTATGCGGAGTCCCCTGTACAGGCTGGGAATGTGGAGCGGAGATCTGGGGAATGAATGTCAACAAACAGCGTACAGTGATCAGCACAGACACACACACACACACACACACCCACAAACGGCAGAGTCTTGGACGTTGGGTTCAGTTCCAGCTGATTTTATTTCCGTCTCAGGGGGAAAAAAGCTATTTACAGAAAATGTGACGGGCAGTAACTTGATATTACTGACTGCTTTGAGTTTTCGCTCAGATGCTGATGTGGTACGAAAGGGCAAAGAAACACTCATCTTCACAGCATATTGCACAGAATGGGAAAGTTCGTCATTAAAAAGGCCGTATAAAAAAGTGAACCGGGAGCCACGTTAAAATGTAAAGACGCAGAGATAGATGTCCCAGCGCCCGTCAAGGTCTGAACAACACACAAACACGCGATTGTTGTTATAATACAGTCTAAATGTACAAAGATGGTCCATCCTCTGTTATTTTTTTAAAAACACAACAGCTCTACTTAAACCTGAATCAGAAATACAAATTCTATTCACCATGCCTTAAGATACTAAAACAATTACCTATTTTTTTAGCAGACAAGTAGAAAAGATTAAATATTTGAATACAATATGAAACACACAGTACGGCTGTGTAAGCAGGTAGGCATTTCGAGTGTATAGACAGGTTCCATCCAGTGGTAAAAACTGCTTTTATCATTATTATTATAAAAAGGTGAAATAAAGCTGTCCATTAAAAAGTACAGTATCTTTATTAGGCAAAGAGAGTGAAGTGCGGAGGGCACCGGGCTGTAAACATGGTCCGGGGTAGGGGGGGCGCCCTTACAAACAGCCGTATGACAGACGCCCCGCTCATATAATTTTTGTACAAAAATACACTTAGAAAATAAACGAACCATTTAAAATCTCTCATGTGTCAGAATCTGGAAAATTTAAATAAAAAACTGGTAACGCTAGCCCTTGGACGAGACTACGGGAACGAAACGAGTCGGTAAAAAATAACGGCCAGTATAAATACATCCATATAAAAACGGCATCCGGTTACACAACAAAACCGGGTGGGAAAATAGGGGGAAACGGCGGAGAAAAAAGTAAAAATCCCTCCGCGAGGGAAGAGGAGGGGGTTTGGTCCTGAACTGTAGTGTGAGGAAGTAGGATCCTGAAGTTTGGGGGCTGCTGGTTTCTCTTTTCGCGCACGAATCAGGCTGAAATTAACCCTAAAGACGAGTCACATTGTCGCATGTCCGGGTGCGGGGACAATCCGCTGCACTAAACCCGCACGTCCCGGCTAGTACCGAAAGTCCACAAGGAACAAAAAGTCGCCGAAATGGGGCTTTTTAAGCGGCTCCGGCCTTCATCCTCCTCCTCCAGCTGCGGTTCGGCACAGGAGCGCCGCCCGCCGGCGCTCTGTCTCTCCGGCAATCGGGCACACCGGCAGGCTGCTCCCACTCCCGGGCTCGGTCCTGGAAATGAACCGGCCCCGTCAGGCGCTTCCGTCCTGATCCAAGAGTGACGATTTCATCTTTAACATTTTAAAATCAAAACCATCATCATCATCTTCGTCCCTGCAGATAGCTCAGTAGGTGAACACCAGGTTAGAGATGGTTGACTCCAGCCAGTCCCCCGAGATCATCTCGCTCACCTCCGGCGTGCAGTAGTCGGGAAAGTCGAAGTGGGAGCCCGAGCCCAGGTTAAAGTCCAGGTCCCGGTCCAGGACGGCTGAGCCGACGCTCCCCAGCGACATGCCGTCGAAACCGGGGCTTGGGTTCAACTCTAGCGGCTCGTCCTCAAATTCCTCGTCCGATGACGAGGAGGAGCGGGAGGAAGACGAGGAGGAGGAGTGCGCGGCGGAGGGGGCCGGCGAAGGCGCACGCACACCGGGGGAGCGGAAGCCCAGATCCGTACCGCCTTCGGTTCCCGTTGCTCCATCGTCGTAAAGACTCGGCGGATCACCGGATTCCACCGAGCTGCTGAGGGTCGGGCTGGCCGGGACAGCTGCCGAGGTCGGACCCCCGCTGGCGCCCCCAAATACGAACACCCGCTTGGTCTTCTTGTCCGGGATCAGCTTGGCGGCCGGCACGGACCGGGACTTGTAGAGGGAGTGGTGGTCTGTCGGGACCGCATGGGGCGCCGGGTCGGCGGCAGCAGCTTTAACGCTCGCCGGCTTCGGCGCCCGGCTGGAGGACTTGG